GATATATAGTTATGAATTTCTGGATATATAAAAATGCTATTGCCGGAAATCGAACCTGATTTCATCTTTAAGTGGGACGCGCGTTTTTTAACCAAAACGGCGCCGTTTTGCAACCGTATGCACCTTGCAAGGTGCATTCGATTGCACAGCATAATTTGCGATCTCAACCCATATGGGTATAACTCGATCATATTGCTATCTTTAGTACAAATTATGTGAAGATATGATATTACTTTCTCAATTTCATTTTTTTAAATTAAGGTTTCTCAATTTTGTCGAATTACATTTTAGATTCCATGAACCAATACCAGACACATGAATTGATAAATTGAATCAATTTAACTTCGAGACTCAATACAAAACTATGCAATTTTACACACAAAGAAGTTTATCACAAACTTAGGGATCGAATTACCACCATACCGCTCAAAGGAAGTCTTTTTACTACAAATTAATGGCATTAGTGAAAAGAGATTTAAACATTGCATGTTCAGAGAAATCCACAATACAAGGTCCTAACTTTTTTATTTGAATACACATACAAATTAAGTTTATAATCAAATATACAAAGTCTAGTTCCTTAAAAAAAAAAAAAAAAAAAAAAAAAAAAAAAAAAAAAAGAAGTCTAGTTTTAACACGGAATATAATTTTAAGAAATAAATAAGCTAGGAATCATGGAGAAAAATCACCATGCTTGGCTCTTTCAGCTGCACTTAAACTTGGAAGCTATCTAGGAATAGTAGTTATGGCGGCCGTGGAATATAACCCTCTTCATTATTCATCAATTTCCAAGATCCATCGTCCTGTTGAACCATTCCCATATTCTTTTCAACCCACCAATTCCCAGGAATACTGTACTCCTCCTTCAAATGATCCTGTGACTTGTTAACCAGCGAGATATCGCGATTCACTACCAGCGAGAACCCATCAAGAACTCCGGCGCCTTCTGTTCCGGCAATTCCATGCAAGTAACCTTCTAGGTTATGCCAATTCCATATATCCGTACTTGGTTTAACGTAACTTGATTTACTAAAGTCAATCGTTAGTTCTACTCCGACATCCGTGTAACCGATCAACGGGGTAGCCGGCGGAACTTGGGGGACGATGTCGGGGACGTTGCGGATGCGCAAGAGATGGAGGTTCGGCGTGGCGTCATAAACGTTTTTGAAGTTGTAGTCGCCGGTTCTGGGGCTGGCGTACACGAAACCGGTGACCGGAAAAGATTTTCCGTCACTTGTTGTGTTGGCTCCGTTTGTGGCTATGTCGATTGCATTTAAGGTTGCGAGTGATGCTCCTAGGCTATGTCCGCAAACGGTTATGCTTACTTCCTCGTTCTTGTATAGCTCTACCAACCTTTTCACTTCCGCCAAAACCTAATTTGTAAAATAAAAATAAAATGTTAAGAGATAATTTGACATTTATCTATTTTAAAGTCAGTTTGCACATGGGGTCATGGGCGAACGTGCAGAGATTATTATATTGAGATTTGAGAATGCAGTTGAAGATAAAATAAAACTAAGTTGACTTCCCCAAGCTTTCAAAAAAAAGTTGACTTCCCCAAAGCTAAGTGAAATATACTGGAATAGTACTATATCTAGAGAGTTGAGCCTATAAAATACAATGTTTAATTAAAACATATTTTGATAATTAAATAGTGCATGCATATTGTGCATTGACTGAATTTATACAACAATGATACTTGCATTACCTAATAACGAAAGCCATAAGATGTATAGATAAAAATAGACGTATATATTTTAAATGATGTGGCGAATAAAAACATATATATACTCCGTAATTTTTAAAATCTAAATAAAAATAGAAAAAATTCATCTCATTGTTTGCCTAAAATAAAAAAATAAAAAAAAAATTCCTTGTTGCATGCATGACTCACACCTCCACTAGACAGAATATTGGAGGGATAAATCACAATAACTTAGTGACCTATTAAGTTAAAGGATGTGTCAGGTCTCCATAACATTAGAAGTTTACCACATTGGATGTAATTTTCACATAAGCAATAAAAAAACTTGTCAGCGTAACAATAAACGACAAAGACTACTGAATTTTTCATTAATGTAATGCATATGTTGCTAATGAACTCAGAATTTCGTATGGTTCGATCATATACAATAACAGATTGGACCTAATTCTACACATTTGGATCACATGAAAATATAGAAAAATGGATATATGTAGTTGTAGGTGTTGCAATATATACCTGATCTCTAGCACTGATGGTATTAAATGTAGAATCTGGATTCTCAGTGGAGTAAAGGTTGTAAAAGCCTCTATGAACCTGAGGACTAGCACCGGCGCCAAAGATCTCCGGCGCAGGCACTAACAAGAACTGAAGATCACTCACCCATTCCAGCGTTCGAACCGTCCCTCTCCAGCAAACAATTATGTCTCTCCTTCCCAGCGCCGCCTTTCCCTCGTCGGTGGCCACCGCCACGTACCCAATCCAGTTGGACTCCCTGCTCCACGCATCCAGCGGAGTGGGGTTGACGATGAAGGCGTCAGGGAGGGTGTACGAGGATGTGGCGTAGAAGTACTTGGTAACCTCGTACTTGTACGGGTTTCCCATGTCTAGTCCGACCTTGGCGAACAGATTGGCCTCCGAGTAGCGGCTGCTGCCGGCGTACTTGGAGGCGGAGTCGGCGTTGAAGGTGTCGTAGGTTGCTTGGGTCATCTGTCCGTAGTGAATTAGGTAGTTTCGGAGATCGAGGTCGAGAGGGTCTGTTAGGCCCTCCCAGTTTGTGCTGCCGCTTAGCACCTCCCACCTCTCTGCTATACTGCTACTCATCTTTCTTCTGCGTTTTCTTATCCACAATCTGTCACTCAAGAACCAACTGATCGAGTTACGGGTACAGGTTTCTTTTGGGATTATTGTTATGGAAAACCCAGTTTATATAGCCAATGCCGTGCATTTCTTTAATGCTGCGCATGAAACACGATTCCATTTAATTTTGTTTTTACGAAAACCAATATTAGTTGCTTAGTTGTCATGGATCTTGATCATTTCTTGCTAGGATAGGGTTAGCTTAATTCCAGGAATTTGAATATTTCCAAGCAGCATGTATTGATTCTTAAATAATAAATGGATGTCCATATTTGTACATTGCATCTCTAGAAATTAAAAGCCATGTATTTTTGATCGAGCTTCAACTGGTGAAACTGCATAAGAGAAAGGAACACAAGAAAGGATATATGAAGCTTATGAGTATACTGGATATTTCACTAAGCAATGAGCGAGTTGAGGTAATATTTTTTTTAGTTGGAAAAGACATCGTGGTTAGACGTGCTGGGATGGTAAACCTAGCCCAATGGTCTCATAGAAAATAATAATTATGCTTATAAATAATAATGGGTCAAACAATTCGCAATATATGCTTAGCTGTTAAAGTCTTGACCTCTTCCAAGTTTACCCGATCGACATAACTTTGAAGAGTTCTCCACCTATTAGGCTAATAATCTTTTGGAATAAATTATTCACTTGAGATTTGAGTGTTTTACATTGACGGATGAATAGAAAAAATGACTCAAAATTCTATAGGTAAATAGGTATTGATATTATCATTGTGCCTTATTCTTTTGATTGTTAAGAGAAACGTCAATCACTATTTAATAAATCTCATCTTAATCAGTAAAAAATCACAATGAAATAAATTAGTTTAATTGTCTATAATAACCACCTCAAATCTAGAAGACTAATCACTCATTCTCATTGGAAGTCAAATTTCGTTTAATTTTCTAGGTAGATATATGAGTATTGACATTAACATTGTGTGTCGGTACAAAAATAATTAATACAATTGAGATGAACAAAATTCATCAGCGAATGCGAAGCTTACTTGTAAACAATTAAGTATGACTGATTCCCTCATACAACCTAACACGCATAATTTAATTTGGTTGATCATCCCAGATGGAAACAATAGTACACTTGTCTGAGATTGTCTCACGAATTAAGACTCTAAGATTTCGGCGCACGCAACGCCCTTCTTGGCTGGGATCCTTTGCGCGTTTTTCCCCGATTTTACTTCCATGCTCCCTTTTAATGCATTTTTGCTCTAAAATGATCACCTTTTCCTTCTTTTTTCACTTTCCTTCCTCCAAAGTGTATTTCGATCATTCTTAGCACAAAATACTCTTTTTAGTCTGGAAACCCAAATAAACACTTCAAAATAAGTGCAAAAAGAAATAAGAATGGGGTGGAAATATATTACAAAATAAGAGTCATCACGTGATCCTCACAACTATGTGGACCACAGTCTATAAACACATAAAGTACATTATTATAACTCACAAAATACATTATTCTAACACATAAACTACATTATTCTAACTCATAAAATACATTATCTTACCCCTAAAATGTTCATTATTGTAGCATACGCGCAGAGCAATTTTTTTTTTTTTTTTCGATTAACATCAAAACGATGTCGTTTTGGATCGTGGTCCACGCAACTCTGTGGATGAATTTGCCGTCCCAACTCCCAAACTCCATCCCTCCCCACCAGTCCACCTTGCCCACGCCTTACCCCTAACCTAGCCCAACCTCTTTCCAAGCCTACCCTTTGTCTTATTAATTCCTAGCCCATCTACTTCCACCCTCTTGGGCTTAACCAAATTCAAATGGCCCCCTCAAATATGTTTTTTTTTTTAAATATAAACCAAAATTATATTGTTTAGAAATGAAACTAGATGCACAGAACTCAAGCAAGAATTGTATAGTATATAGGTATACGACAAAATAAATCCTACACAAATTAATGAATTCGGAGCATCATTCGGAGAGGAAAAGATTAAAACATATGCCCAGAAAATTCCTCAATGAAACAACACAAGATATATACCATATTATGAATATCATATGATCTCAATGTTTTTATTTCGAAAACATCTAAAATAGAGTCTCAGCGAACTACAAGGTAACATCAAAACAATGTTAATTAACACATATATAAAATAATTTAATGAAATAATAAAGAATTATATATGGAGGAAAAAAAAAATCATATATCATCCTCATGATCAATAAGAATCCATGATCCATCATCTTGTTGAACCATCCCTTTATTCTTCTCGACCCACCATGAAACCGGCACAAAATATTCGTCCTTCAAAGCATCCAAATGCTTGTTCACAAGTGCAATATCACGAATTCCCGTCTCAATCTTGAACCCTCCTTTGGCCCCTTGGTACCCCGCAACTCCATGCAAGTAAGCTTCCAAGCTGTGCCAAGTACCCAAATCTCCAGGGCTCTTTAGGTACTCCGATTTGGTGGTGTCGATGGCTAGTTCCGAGCCGACGTCGGCGTAGCCTATGAGAGGATAATTTGGGACGACGTCCATGGCGTTGCGGACGCGTAGAATGTGAAGGTTTTGTAGCTTTGAAATGGCGTTCTTGAAAGTGGAGTCGCCGACTCGAGGGCTGGCGAAGAGGAAGGCCGTCACCGGACAGGCTGGTTTTCCGGCCGCCGCCTTGTTGAATCCGTTGATGACTATGTCGATCGCGTTTAGGGTTCCGACGGCTGCACCCAGGCTGTGGCCTGCTATGGTTATGCTGATTTCCTCATTCTTGTAGTGATTCACCAACCTTGAAATTTCTCCGAGAACCTAAACATTTTATTAAAAACAGGTGATCAAAATTTCTATTATCCACTTCTATTATAAATTTTACCAAAAATTTTTAATCTTTATTGAGTGACTAGAATTTCTATCCATTTGTTTATTACTACCCTCGGGTCAACAAAGTTGAAAAATTATTTTTTAGTAACGAATCGCAATCACTATTGAGAGTGTGCATTATATAAATTGGCCATGTTCGTACTACAAAGAGGAAAACTAGCTTAGGTCGCGCATAGCAGATCCGCTCAAGCCAGAAAGTCCAATAAACTGCTTCCATTAGGGGTCGAATTTTAAACCTTATGATTACCAAGCTAACAAACTCATCAACTTAATTAGTTGGGGTTGCCACCAAACTTAAATTTTGGATGACGAGGGAAACCCCGTCACTACCTGAAGGTATGTACGGGGTAAACTCCGCCTTGTGACCTTAGCGAGCAAAAGATCAATGAAGTAAACTAACCTAAGTTATACATAATTGACCGGTTCAAACAAAAGGACCAACAGATCGCTTTCACTGAAAGTCAAACTTGTAACATTGTTGTTACCTCATGCTTACCAAACCTAATTTTTCATCCATATTTTTGGTGAACAGGAATATAATGGTCATTTTTTCGCCAATTTATAACATCAAAGCATTAGGATTATAAATTGACTCAAAAATCACAAATTTTCGTATCCCTCTTCTTTTTTTTTTTTTTTTTTTTTTTTTTTTTTGTTTAAATCATCTTTAGTGAGTTAGTGAGTAGTTAGGATTTTGCAATCCTTTTGACTACTACCCACAGTATGTGGTATAAAAGTTCTTAAAAATCACAACTTTTTATCCCTTTTTTGTGCTGAAAAAGTGGACGAAAAGTTTATCCAATAAGTAACACTAAAGCTTTGAGGTTTACCTGGTCTCTGGCACTGATCTTAGTAAATGGCGATTTTGGATCTTCCGAAGTGTAAATCGAGTACCAACCACAATGAACCTTAGGATCATAATTTCCCCCGAATATCTTCGGCGCATCGGTGAATGCAAACTCGAAATCATTAACCCATTCCAACGTTCGAACAGTGCCTCTCCAAGCAACCAAAATGTCTCTCCTCCCTAACGCCGCCGCGCCCTCATCCGTGGCCGCCGCCACAAACCCAATCCAGTTCGACTCCCTGCTCCACGCTTCCCTGGACATGGATTTCACGATGAACGCCTCAGGGACCTGAACCGAAGACGTCGCGTACAAATACTTGGTGATGGAATACTTGAACGGATTCCCTTTCCCCAGCCCGACCCTATCGAACAGCTTTTCTTTAGCGTACCGACCGCTTCCTGCGTATTTCGACGCTTTCTCGTGGTTGAAGTTGTCGTAGGTTGCCTGCGCCATTTCGCCGTAATGAAGGATGTATTTCCGCAGATCGTTGTCGAGAGGATCTAATAAGCCTTCCCACTGGTTTCTCCCGCTCAGAAGCTTCCACCTTCTGGCAATGCTGTTCATCTTCTCCACCTTCTTCTTCCTTTTGAGGAACCAATTGCTCATAATCTTTCTTGTTCTGTTCAATCTTAGAACAACGTTCATTGCTTATATTGTTTGGTTACATAAACTGTTTGGATCTGACGATGACTCCTGGTTTTATATACGTATCGGTGTCTTATCTTATCTGTATTGATCTTGTGAAACTGCAATGATGGGTCGTGGCCGCCATACCTTACCTCTTTTACATCTTCAAGCTAGTTAGCTAAAAAGGCATCCTGGTTCTGTTTCGGTGGAATAAAGCAGTTACAATTACTTCAAAAATTATAATTAATTGTGAAAATAATCAAAATATAATAACAATTTTTTTTTTTAATAATTATCAATGTCATATTTTGATAACAGAATGTTAAACTTACCATCTAAGACACCTCTATATCTTCAAGCCTTTTTTTTTTTTTTTTTTTTGAAAATAAACGATTCATTAATGACCGAAGAAACCAGAAATACAATTGAAGCTTGTAAGCTTGTTTGTGCATTAGTTTGAACCTTACGCCCTACTGTACTACAAATTATTTGGATATTTTTTTAGCTATTATAATAAGATTTATTTATTTATAAGAAAGAATAATGGGAGTTGTTGATATGCTTGATTGCTTAATTGTCATTTCATTTCAAGGTTGGTGCAAAAACATTATTATTACAGAATTTTGAGAAATCATAATGAACAACTAGTGGTTAGAAATTTTGCTTTACTTGAAAGCTTCTCAAACTAGCTTGGCTCCAAACAGAAAAGACATTGCTTTCAAGTTACCAACAAAAAGCGGCGAATATTAATATGGAATAAAGAATATATACATCTCGCAAGTTTAACCACCCAACCTCTGCAATACGAATTTCTGGCGTTAACGTATGGTATAGATGCTATTTTTGTACACTATTTTTCAAGCTTTTGGGACATGTATAGTGATGTATGATATTGCCTGAAATACTAAGAATATTACCAAATATGATTGGAAAATGACATGCATATAGATATTTTTTATTGGAAAATAATATAAATAAATCTTGCATGATTTGAGATGATATAAATGATTATTCCAATAGTTATTGCGTTGAATTGTGTGGACCACAGTCTAAAAATGACTGCGTTTTGTATTTTTTTTTTTCACGCGACCCGCAACAACATATACATTTTTATAACTCATAATGTACATTATTGTAAAACATAATGTATATTATTTTAAAGCGTAATGTACATTATTCTAGAATATAATGTACATTATATTACTCCAAAAGTTTCATTATTTTAACACGTAATATGTATTACTCTAACACATAATATACATTATTTTAACACATAATAAACATTATTTTTACTCATAATATTCAACGGCGTCGTTTTGGACCGTGGTCCTCACAGCCGTGTGAACCACAGCCCACACAATAATTTGCCATGATCATTCATGGTTGGCCGCTTGCCACTTTGATTGAAAAAAGGGATTAAGTACAAATAAGCCACTGAACTATTTGAGAAACAGCAATTAAACCATCAAACTCAAATAACCATCAAATAAGCCATTGAACCCGGAAAAAAAAGAGCAAATAAGCCATTGAACCCTGAAAAAAAGAGCAATTAACATTTTTTATAGGTTAGCTCCAAGTTTTTGCTGATTGGATTGCCAAATGTTTATTTTATTTACGTTTATTATTTTTTTTATTAATATTATCCACTTGGATAGTATTATATTTTAAAATAATTATAATCAAAATAGTTTTATCTTGTCGATATTTGATTTGTTTATTTATTATTATTTTTTCACTAGATCTTTTGTTTAAAAAATAATAAATAAATAAATAAATTAGATCTAGACAAGACAAAACTACTTTGATTATAATTACTTTAAAATATATTACTATGTAGATGGATTATAATAATAAAAAAAACATAAATAAAATAAACATTCGGCAATCCAGTCAGTAAAAACCTAGAATTAACCTGTTAAAAATATTAATTGTTCTTTTTTTCCGAATTCAATGACTTATTTGAGGGTTATTTGAGTTCGATGGCTTAATTGTTTTTTCCCAAATAGTTTAATGGCTTATTTGTACTTTATCCCTTGAAAAAATAGTAATAAATAAGAATAATTATTAGTTATCTCAATAAGAGTGTTCATTTAGAAAGACCAGCTCGATATATAGGAGAGCCCCTTAAAATTGAGTAACACTTCATAACTTATAGTGAATGAAGTCGATAAGGAATCATATTAATTACTACACACTCCAATTCTCTCTAGACACTATCAAGTACAAGATAACCTCTTTTAAGGTCATCCCCACCTCTGATCCATTAATTAAAAAAATGTACATAATAATTGAATATAAAAATACATATAAGAAATGGATATCTATAAATGATTTTAGAAGAAAATATATTATCGATGTTGGGACTCACATTCGATCCTAATGCCACCCATTAATAATTGTACATTTAGACTTGAATACAATTTTATGGACTAAATAGGGTCAAATCCAAAACAGCCCTATACAACAGTACTCCTATAAACAGCCAAATACTGCAATACTCAAATAAACAGCCTAATACTCTTATAAGGACAAATTATACCTTAGATCATGACCTACATTACAATTACAAAATAGACCATTCATATAGGTTTATTTTACTATATTTCATGCTCACTTTTAGGTAATACACAATAAATGAACTTAGGGCATCCTAAATAATTGAGAATTTTTTCTCATTTTTCGTGGGCCCCAGCATCCACCTCATCATCCACTATCTCACTCAATCACAAAAACTCTTCTTCCCATTAGTTTTAAGTTTTTTCACAATTTTTTATTGACCCACAATTTTACTTTATATATTTTAATTATTTCTTTATCTATTATTATTTTTAAAATTATAATTATAAATTTAATAACAATATTATTAATAATTATAAATTTAATAACAATACTATTAATAATTATAAATTTAATAACAATAATAACTTAAAAAATTAAATAAAATTAAATTACTAATTAAAAAATTAGAAAAAGTTAAAAAAGTTAAGATAAAAATTAAAAAATTAAAAAATTAAAAAAAAGTAAAAAATTAAATAATTAATAAAAAAAAAAAAAAAAAAAAAAAAAAAAAAAAAAAAAAAAAAAAACTGGCCGTTGCATTTGCAACGGCAAGCCTCATTTTAAAATTAAAAAAATAAAACAAAGAAGAGTTTTTTGCACTTTTAGTCCCACGACTATAGTGGCACTGGCAGAATTGATGGCTAAAAGTCGTGGATCAATTCTGCCAGTGCCACTATAGTCGTGGGACTAAAAGTGCAAAAAACTCAAACAAAGAATGGCTAAAAAACTGACAAAATAAAACAAAGCATAATTTGAGAGGGGCGGGCCCATGAACCCCGTATTAGGATTGCTCTTATTAAAACTGATGAATATACATATTAGTGGTCTACTTTGTAACGCAAATTATGCAGTGGACTCGTATCCACAATGCATTGTGGACATAAGTTTAAAATGACGTCGTTTTCAGGAAAAACGCGTTATTTCAGTTTTAAAAAAAAAATAATTTTGTCTCACCGTTAACGCAGTTAACGGCGTTATTCATTTGTGTCATTATGAATGTACAGTTATGGAATTATGAATGCACAGTTATGAAATTATGAATGCACAGTTATTGAATTATGAATGTAAGTTATAAAATTATGAACACAGAGTTCTGACATTATGAACTTACAATTATGAACATATAGTGATAAAATTATGAAGATAGAGCTCTAAAATTGTGAACATCGAGCTTTGAAAATTATGATTTTACAGTTATTGAATTATGAATGTACAGTTACGGAATTATGAATGTACAGTTATGCAATTATGAATGTACAGTTATGCAATTATGAATGTACAGTTATGAAATTATGAACACAGAGCTTTGACATTATGAACTTACAATATGAACATATAGTGATAAAATTATGAACATAGAGCTCTAAAATTGTGAACATAGAGCTTCAAAAATTATGAAGTTACAGTTATTGAATTATGAATGTACAGTTATTGAATTATGAATGTACAGTTATGGAAGTATAAATGTACAGTTATGGAATTATGAACACAGAGCTCTGACATTATGAACATATAGTAATAAAATTATGAACATATACTCCTATGAACATATACTCCTAGAAGATAACAACACTGTTACCCGTGTCTAGCATGCATGCTGGACACGGGTCCATAGCATAACGATTGACTTTGTAACCATCATGATACACAATATAACTATTGATTTGGACTCTAAGGCGTTAAAAGATCCAAATCTATTATTTTTATATAAAAATTGATAAATGTACTTTTTAATAATTAAATTTTGATTTTTTTTAAATAAAATAATGTCGCCAACTATAATTTTGTATGACGGCATCCCAGTTACTATTGTAAATGGGTGGTCATAGGTTTGAACCCTAGTGTAGAGTTGTCGAAACGGTCTCGCGGGACGGACCAAAACACACCAAAGCCGGTCCCCGTAACGACGCAGGCTAAAAAGCCCGCCTCTTAGCGGGCTTGGAATGTGGCCGGCCCGCCCCGCTAGCCAATATTTTTTTTTTTGTAATTAGAAAAGATTTGTTGTACTGTATGCTTGTAGTTACATTACTATGTAAGTTTTTTAATTTAAAAAAATGACATGCAAACTAACAACATGTATTAAATACGGAGTACTAAATATTAATACAAATTAAAATAACTAACAACTAATAGAAATTATCCAAACTTTCAAATTTCTATTCAACATTAGGAATTAAAATAAAATAGTTTTGCAAATACTAAACTTCTAAAACTCATAATTCATCAACCATTATATCATTCATATCATGGTCTTCTTCTCATTGATCTCTATCGTCATTGATTTGGAAATTGAAAATTGAGAAGCATGTTGCGATATACTTTTTTTTAATATAGATTAGTAGGCCGCGGGCTAAAACCGCGGTCCGCCTGACCCGTCCCGCTTGGACCCGTGACCCAGGCAGGGCGGGCTAAAAAGCCCACAATAATCAAGAACCCGTCCCCTACCTACGGTAGGACGGGACGGATCGACCCGACGAGTAAAACCCATTTTGACGGCTCTACCCTGGTGGTGGGGTTTAGATTTTTTGGACTTAAAATGCTTGAGAAACTATAAAACATATACTATCTTGTAAAGAATCATGATTATTTTTAAAAATATCACCTATTCATTTCTAAATCAATTGGAGCACAAAATGTATATATATATATAT